TTGTTGTTTTGGCGATTGCCACAGACAAATAGCTGTGGAAAAGCTATTCTAATAATTATAAAATAATAATTATCTGAAATTATCACGAGTAGAGTCGATTACTAGAATTTTCTTCTTTGTTGTTGCTTGTAAGAGAAATTTGGAGGAAATTTGATTAAGGCTAGAGTTTAGTAGAATTATCTGATGGAGATATAACTGGTAGTACGAATTGTATCGAGCCGCATGCACACTTTACTCCAGAACGATCTTTGCGGATGATCTTAACTCTTTCTTTATATAGTGAGAGTTGGCTTATAACAAAGCGCATTGTGTTTTTGGATGTTCCTTACCCTTCATAATGGGAGGTTTAAAACATTTGAACCATCAAGTTACAGATTAGATCTTTATAAGCTTCTTTATCAAACCGAAAATGAGAATTGTATAAATGATTCATCACTTTAAACATCGAAGCATTTATCACCATTTTTTGTGTAACGGAACATTTATCTGAGACTATATTATGACTTTTTTCTATATTATGATTTTATTTTAATTATCTTAGCATATTTATATTGTAAAATATTTCGATTATCCCGACAGCTTCTGTTTCGTCTTGACCAAAATGATGAATAAAGTCTTGGACAGAGAGATAAATTGATCTGGGTAACTATAAGCCGATTGAATTGAGTAAGACAATTCAATCAATTTTTAATCTCTATTCAATAAGATTGAATTTTGATTTAAAAAAGTTCTCTTTTTAGATACATACGCAGTTCTTCCGCGGAATTGTTTTGCAATAAATTTGGAGACAGGTGAATTGTATTTGTTAACTGATCAAAGTGGGTGTGCTATCGACACGGAACTTTTCCCAGAATGGACTTACCGACAAGTGTGGCTTACAACAGCCAAATTTCGGACATTCAAATGGCCTGACAGTTCGATGATTCGTTTCCAGTGTGACTGTTCGGCATGCATTGAAAGCTGTCCAAAGGTTTTTTTTTATCGATGATAAACCAACAATTTATCTTCCTTAAATTCATGAAACTTTCCTGCTTCTGTAATGTAATATAGGTCAATTGCACGAAACGACGTGAATCAACGAAACAGCGTCGTTTTCGGCACGTGCGTGAAGTTCCAAGAAATTCCGTAGATGAAGAACTAGAGAAGCATGTAGTAAAAAGTGCAAAATGGATGGCGTATTCTCGAGCATTATACATTAACGAGGAAGAGGAGCTGGTACGAGCACAACGTGACATGAAGCGTTGGAAGTACCAAGGTGAATTACTATGAATATTGCATTTGTCATTTATACTTCGTCAATAACTATTTAGTGAAAAAATATTTCTTCCACAAAACTCCACTGAGTACGAGGATTTCTTCTTAAATTTTTTTTGTGAGATAGAGAAAGAGGGATTTCAAATAAAATTGATATTTCTTTTTTCATTTCATGTGCGCCTTAATGTAGATTAACGGAAATTAATTTACAGTTTTCTGAAGTTAAATAGATTTGTAAATTATATTTTGAGGTTTAAAAACTTACGAAGAACCAATGAATGCATTACCTGATGATATCTGTATTCGAGCTCTTTGGGTAATATTGTCTCTGCTACCACTAATTCTGTTATTGGTTCTTATTGGTTTACTATCTGCGATGTGGCGAAAACAATTATCCACCAAAATACGCTGGAGGAGAGCAGTTGTTAATGATAGCGAATCTTCATATTTAAAATTTTAGCGAGTCATCTCTTATTTCTGTGTCAATCCACAAGCGGTTGTTGTTATTTGTTGTTACCATATTGTTGTTGTTATTGTCATTGTTGTCAATGAAGTACACCAATATTCCGGATGTTGTGGATTACTGAATTATGGAGTTATATGCACATAAAAGTAACCCTAGAAATTGCAGGATATCATGAAATACGACATTTTTTTGTTTCGTTTGTCGAATTGTTCTCTTATCTCAATTTTTTGAATGATTTGCTTTTTTGTCTTTGTTATTGCCTCACAATAATTTGAGGGTATTTTCCAGTGCTAAAGATTTTCTAATATGTTGCTTTATTATCTTACCCACTCCGGACCTTTATGTCTTGGAAATTTTTTGAGGACTGGAATTTACTCTCAACTGTCCAGAACCATTGATTGAATGCCTTCTGAAGAACAAAAAACGTAAGCGGATTCCTTAAACGAATTCCTTTTTATTTGCTTATAATGACAGTGCACTCTATAATTATGAATTTGTGAAAAACTTATAAAAATATGAAAAAGTTCCTTACTGTTCAATCTTCTCTAAGTTTTCCATAAAATGTTCTGTTTTCCTTTTTCTATAATACTGATTGTTGTTTGCCAACGTCATCATTAATCTCTTTTTCTACACACATTCCAAATACTTATTGCAATTACACTTCTTTCCGATGCCTTCCTTGTCCGTACATTTTTATTATCATTGATAATTCTCAGTGAATGACAATCATGTATATGTTTATGCGTTCTGTTCGTTTTACATTTACCAGTCACATTTGAAAGAAATGAATTAAGAAATTTTTACAGTGGATTAATTAGAACTGATCTTAAGCATGAAAGATAACTTATATATGTGAAGGACCATGTTTTTATATTGTGAGATTCTTTAGCAACGGATGCAAGCTGTACTGTTAAGCTTTGCTTACACAATACATACATGACCAGTTATTAATGTAAACAAAACTGAACTACTGATTTCTATGTATCTTTTGAAAATAGAAGGAACTTTTTAATTTCATTTGTTTTGGAACGGAGGATTAACTTTATCAGAGGTATGCCTTTTGTTTAGTAGCTTTGCTAGCACGCTTTCAAACTCCCATAGTCACCCACATAAAATCACTCAACTTTATCGAAAACTTGTTTGTTAATTCCGTCCGACTAATGAACTCTGTCCACATTCTACGAAAAGAATTTACTCAAAATCTCGTAAATTCAGCGGGAAGAGGATGAATACAATGTTTTCGGCCTTTACTTGAAGAATCTACACCAAGTTTCCAAGAAAAAAAAAAACAGTAAATTGTTATCTCCATATTTGGTTTTTAAATGTTGGCATGAGACAATTTAACTGTTATCCTGAAAAGCTCGATTTTGAGGACCTTTTTTTTTCAGCTTAGCTTAGAAAGCACAGAGTTACAATTTGAGAGCATACTTGAACAAACCAGGAAAAGATGGTCAAGGAATCTCTGGGGTGAGGGTAGTAGACGGATTTGTCGACAGCAAATGAAAAACCACAAATTTCTGTTATGATGCCAAAGTTACTGGTATAAGCTGCAGAGGAATAATCCTTAGAATACATTTAACCTTAAATGAGATAGCTAATATATGAAAAATCTTCGGCATAGAGATAGATCTGCATTACATATAATCAGATCTCTAAATGGAATCGAAACGACAACAAAAAAGTTTAAAGGAATATTTATATTGTATTGCCGAAAATGAATTCAAGATTAGAGTGCAAAATTGCCATCATAACATAGATAAATCTAAATAAAAAATGACCAAGCTCAAACTTCAGTACAATTACCAACGTTACCTGATTCCCAAGAATGAACTAGATATCTTTTAAGCAACTTGTGTGCTCAAGATTACAACAAAGTGAAAATTGCACAATAATAGATAATCTTAGCAAAAATCAATTTTTGATTGAGAAACTCAGGACTAAGACTACGATCTTGCAATTTCACCGCAGTATTTTGTAAAGCATCTTCACACATGAACATGACTTTTGCTTCACGGGAGGTATACGTTAGTGTCAGCAGTGGTACTCACTTTCCCAACTTGTGTACTCATTCTTTTATAAGCAGACAAATATAGTGATACGCTAAAGGACGAAGGAATTCAACGATTACAGAATCAAAAGACAAGCACACTCCAGCTACCCGTCACGATATTATATATCACAAAAGCTGCTATTACTCCGAACTTTTAGATTTAAATATATCAGACGACAATATAAACACATCAAGATACAAGGAAGGATTTAATCACACAAACGGATTCAAAAAACGGAACAATTCGATGTTGAATTTCAATTCCCACATGCCTTATATCATAGTTCCAACGGCATTATTTCAGCAATGAAAATACAAACTCGCGATATATTTGTCATGGGGGAAAACCCCAACATTCAGGAAACCATATCACAGCAAGTCCAAACGAGATGCAACATTTCAAATCCACCAATCTCCCATTGAAGAATAGTCACATCAAGAATGGCAAGAAAAGAAAAAGAACATAGGAATCATTTCCAGCTTATAAAATAATAGCAATGATAAAATATATTAACTATAATCCACACAGAAACCTGCTGCATTCATTTTGAGCCACGGCAAACGAAACCGGAGAAAAAGTTTTTCTCCATGAATTTCAGTTATTAAACAGACATGAAAGGGAAAAACAAGGAATTACGTCAGCTGAAAGAAAGAACAAAATATACGAGAATAAAGGAAAAATATAAAGTCCAAATAAAATAGCCACAACGTGTAAGATAATACAATAAACCTAACTTAAATTGGCTCTATACTGATTCCCCAAACTACTGCTACTGTTCACCGATGAATTAAATAGTGATATCTTTTAACCAATATATATATAACAAATTGAATAAAACGTGTTGTACAGCAACATGAAGAAAAAAGCCGTACTCTAATTGAACTTTTTCGAAAAAGTCTTGCTTTTCCTTTGCTTTAATAAGATTTAGAATTGTAAGAGATATGAAAATATCAGTCAGATATATCTGACTGCATTAAAATTGTTTGAAATAAGAATGTAAATTTCAAATCTGCTACTTTTATAAAATTTTTGCAATTAACTGCTTACGTCATAAATTATAAAAACATATAATTTCCTTTTGTTTACTTTTGACAGTACACTGCTAATCAGTTTGAGCAATAAAATTAAGAGCTTGTCATACAAATGAGCATAAATTTCACCTTTCCTTTTAAATAAATACAAGTAAAGGATAAAAAAAGAAGTTCATTATTGCTAAGGAGCAACATATATCAAAAATCAGAAAACCTTAATGAATTGCCTGCAGAAACCATATTGTGCACATCAGCAACAATAAGTTGTGCTACTTGGTCTGCTACCTCTGCTTCCTAAAACAATTTATCCTTTCAATAAAAAGACTTCTCATCATTAAAGCTGTGATTCAATGAAAATTCCTTATGACTGAATTTGTAACCTTCCCATTTGCAATTCCTTTGCTTTGATCAAGAACTGAAACACTGATTACAGAATCATTATTTCAATTTCAACGGAATTAAATAATGGAGTTCATCTGCCGTTTATAGTTTCCACAGTGAGACAAAGATCGCTCACACAATCTACTTCTACTCAAGTCAATAGATATGAAAAATCTGACATAAACACACCTTTTTCATAGAATAATGTAGATATTTATCTAATTTGTTTTTGAGCCTTCGTCGAGTATTTCCCTTATTTTCGGATATACTGTAACTGTTATCATACATTGGACGATATCGACCCATATCATCAACTGTAGCTAACGATATGCTCCTGAAGTGGGAACGAAATGTATTTGCAAAAACGCTGTGTTTTCAATCAGTTTTGGAGACAAATCATTTCAAAAATACAGCAAATGATTAATCAAAATTTTTAAAGTACTGAGAAAAATTGACGGATAAATGTAAAGAAAATTTTGAAAAAACTCACGCCTTTGACCGCCCAGAACGAGAAATATTCATGCCACAGAAATTTGAACTATCTGGCTGAGAGGTTGTTTCGTATTCATCTCTGTTCAGTGATAATAATGTAGGAGAAAGTGACGGAGTCAAATTACGATATGCCGCTCTATCAAACAATGATAACGGTAAACTTGTATCTGAGGACTGATCCGAATCAGTCACTGAAATAGCCAATATTTTTATCTGACTTCGAAAAACGAATTTCTATTTTATTTATTTATTTTTGATTTCTTAATCAGTAAAAAAGTGTCTACTTAATCACTTGCATCCAGCCTTTCTGTGTTCTTGACTATATGTAAATAATCTAAATCTTTTTAATGCCCCTTCTCCTCCCCCCACCCCCTTGTTTTTTTGTGAACTTTGTGTCAAAAGCAGAACGTAACGTTTGGAATAAAATTTTCGTCTGACCTCAGGCTTTGGTGGCAGAGAAACTAAAATACAAAACTTCAAACAGAAAGAAAACGAGGGACAATTTTTTTTATCATCAAATTCAAACCTAATCACAATTAAGTTTACCAGGGTTCTGCATGATTTTTTTTTCTAATGAATGGTGTAAAAAATATCTCGAAAATGCAAAAATAAACCAAGTGTTTGCTTTCTTATATTTGGATTTGGCAATTCGACACAGTTTTCCACCTGAACCATCAGTTTCTGCAGATATTTTACAAATGCTGGCGATGCAGAGAAGCGTTTCAGATAATTCTGTAAAAGATAAAAGCAGATTTACAAAAAGGAAAAATTGTAAAAATTGTAGTTCAACAAATCAATGTTAGTCAATAGGTAACAACAAATCTCTGCTATTCCTATCATGCAATACCAAAAATTACAGCTTTGTTTTCATAATTATGTTCGCTTACTTGTTCCAGAATGCGTAAAGCCATAAGTCGTGCTGCTTCGAAACAGCTCGAAGCAGGTCTTCCATTTCCTAAACAAATGTCGCTTTCGATCTGAATTCGAGTTTTCGAATCAAACTTCAACGGTTCTGTTGCTTGCATTGAAAAATATCTGTAAAACATGCCTATGAGAATAACCAATTAAATTTGTCTCCTTATTTTCATATTTAGAGTCCATCATATTTTCAACCAGTAATTTTTTCATATCTCACACTAACTAATTTGTTGATTTTTACTTACACAGAATAAAAAATATCCTGAATGCAAATGTTGCTATGGAAGTTGAAACGAAATCATGTAATTTCTTAAAATCCTATCAAGTTCTCAGGAAAACATTCATTTCTATATTATCATGCTATTTGCACATATTTCAAAAATCAAAGAAAATTAAAACTAAAACAAAAAATAACGAAAACTTTCACCCAAATATGTTCATTAAAAATGGTTTTAAACAGTCAACATTTGTCTTAAATACGTCTTCAACATAAGAAACGGTGCAATGCAGACATAGCTTAATTTTTTTAATGTATTCGCATATGAGATAAATATTAAGAATGACATAAAATGGTCTATTAAATTAGTTGTTTATCAGACAAAAATTTTAAGTGAACTTTTAATCTGTAAAGTCATACAGTGTTTCCACTCAGCCTAGAGCGATTATGACACCTTCAAAACTAGCAGATATCATCGTTCCTCCTGAGAGAATTCAAATATTTGAGGTAGCATACTTATTATAGATAATCATAGCATCTTCCACTGCTTGTTCATCGCTCTGTGTTAATGGCAATTGTTTAGCAAAACTTTCAGCAGAAATAATAAATTCTACTAACTTCCCATCGCTTTCATTTTCCATGTACTGAAAAAACTCAAAGATCTCTTTAATGGTGTGAAAATTTTAAATAAGTAAAACTTAATGAAGGTAAGTAAACTTACCTCAACAAATGCGCAGAGAAGTGGCTGGCATAGCATAATATCTTTTATCGTAAGTGCTCCACTGCTGATAACCTCTATACGATGCTTAGCGTAATATACACTACTTTCAAACTCTCTGAAGTACCTACAAAACCACATGGGATCAACAGAACAATTTAGAAAGCAACAATATTATATAAATTGGAGGAATTTTCAGAGTATCAAGTCAACACAGTGAAAATTGTACTGAAAAGTCAAATTTTGCGAAACATTTCTCAAAAGGAATAAGGGAAAAAGAACTATAGTGTGTCAGTCATTTTTAAGAAGAGTTTTTAAAAAATAAGAGTGGAATACATAACGAGAAATTAGTGAGCTATTAAAAACTTTTAAACAAAAAATGATACAAACCGACTTTCCATGACATTCAAAACGAAGCCTTGTGCTTTAGAAAAGCAACAAGGATCGAAAGATCCATTTTTAACATTTATTCGTTCTGCAAAAAAAAAGAACTTCAGATAGATAAATTGTAAAACCTTTCGCGAATTAATGAATGCTCGTATTCTTAATAATTATAAATACAATTTTGCAGTAACAGCGGTATGCAGAACAAGGATGGTATCTGTCATATTAAAAATCAGAATTGGTATAAAAGCAATTATGAATTGGATCATTTTGAGATGATCACCCATTTCAGATTTTTTGCGTATCCATTACCATTGTTATATAAAAAAATATTGCAGTATCTGGAATAGAAAATGAGTCTTTCTTAAAACATATCACGTTCTATTACTATGATCAATAACTACTTTAATACTTAATAATTCACCCAATACTATTTTCCGCAAATGGTCAGTAATGTTGATTGAACAGGATGCATCTTCACTGATATATTTCGAATAAATACGAAGTGCATCATTTTTGATCACTGAAACAATATAACTTTTTTATCGCAATTAGCATTTAAATTAATTAGTTAAAAACCTTCTGCAAAACACGTAAAAAAAAAATTTTCCAGTGAGAACAAAGAAAACTTGTTTGTATGGAATTCCTTTTCGGACGACATTTCGGTAAAGAAAGAAAGAAACTACTTGCGACCAAGGCTCCATCGTTCTTTTTCACTGTAAGTGCCGAACATCGAAAACTTTCAGCATGCAGCCAAAATTTGATTAAATTAAGCTGACCTAAAAGTTAAGGATAGGACAAATATAAATAAGCATGAAAGCTACGTTAATTATGGTAAGAAGGAAGAAAAAAAGTTATGTTTTTATAACGTTTCTCGAAAAAATAAAAGAACCCCTAGTTTTCATTATCATCAACCTTCATCCATGTATCATTTAACCTTAGCTTTTAGGTTTAAAAATAAAAATGGCAACAAAATGGAAAATCACTCATCAAACAACATTCTGAACTAACATGTTTTGTAAAACTTTATATTCACTAATGAAATCATTACCAATTCCTTCCATAAACTGAATAAAATATGCCAATGCAACAGAATCATTCAACGTTTCGTTCAGTGTGTACACTAAAGCTGATTTTGGGAAAATTAGTTGAGCTGATGGCTGTGATTCACCTGAAATGTCCAGCCGCTAGAAGGGTGAATTTTAGGTTCATTTAACACTTGCTTGTCCAAGCACTGCACTTTCTTTAATGGAGAACTCTTCTGTTAGCATCTGCTAATGTTGACGTCATCTTCCAGTGTTTATTTGTATAACAAAATATGCCACACTTTGTATAATTGGACGGAATTCTTACAAGATATTTGGAAAAAGTCACTTATCATGGCCTCACCACTGCACGTCATAATATATATATAATATGCGCTAAGAGATTTTCCCGAAGATTAAATAGGATAAAGTGTAAATAAAGTTAAATATTTTAAAACTCTCCCAAATTGTCACATAAATAAAACTTACACCGAATCATTAAACTGAAAATGGAAAAATATCTATTTTTTATAGAGTTGAACTTCGAAAACTTAAAAAGAATGAAGTTTAATATTAACATCGGTAGTAATTTCTCCTCAAAAAGTGGAAGAGAATCATCAAAATTTTAGCAGCTAACCTAAATCATCGCTTATTTGTACAGCAAACATGTCAAAATTCGGACAATCAGACGAAATTCTTCAAACGCATTAGAAAAGAATCACCCATCATAATTCCCCATTATTGCTAATTGTAGTATCCGTAGTGCTCCATATCCTGAAAAGTTTAGAATAGTGCATGACAATTTTACTTCGTACATTGATTTGTTATTTTCCTATGTATATTAAGCCATATCATGATTTTCCGGCTATTTTAACCGGCCAGTAATCTTGTTCAGAGACCTTCCCACGGGACACCGGAATGTAAAAGACATTGACACCATATCTTCCCCCCACCACAATTTCACAAACTTTGCAAAAGCTAGAAACTTGACGACGGCCAAAACCCTGCGGGGTTAATCTATTTGTATTGAATTAAACGCGGCCTTCCTTGTATCATGGCTATCTCAAACGGATTTTATTATTAATATGGACAGTGGTGGAGGAGAATCATCGTGCCGTAGCAGGTTGGTCTTCCTGAATATTTTTACTTGAACTGGATTACTTCCTGCTAGTCACTCTGGTAGAGCTAATAAAAATCACTTAATGGATGTGTGCTTTTCTCCGAGCTGATTCTCTGCTAAAGAAGGTTGCTTCAGAGGTGATTCGATGCTGTGTCACATTCAGAATTTCATTCGTCGATAAAATTGCAGACAGTCTCTCTACTCTTTCTCTTTCAGCTCGGATAACTGTGATTTGAGAAACGACAGAGAGGGGAATTTGATTAAATTCACATGCTTTTTGTGTGGTCTCACCGAGAATTGCCGTTATGGTTTGGTAGAAGTTTCGGGCCGGACGTTAGCTCTTGATTTTCTTTTTTTTCTTTTTTTTTCCTGTCATATAATCTCTTAGGTGAATTGTGAATTCAATTTTTTAATATATTACTGAGAAGTTTATTCATTTGTCTCACAAAATGTAACTTATATATCCTTTACCTAGTTGTTATTCGTTTTACTAAACATATAAGGAATTGTTTCATAACAGCTTTACAGATTAAATCATTTAGTTCTTTGGAAAGTTCGTATCTTTTTTCACTTTTCTGTGAATTAAAAGAGTTTTTCCCGATGTAGTATAGTAAGTTGGACAAATTACGCTCTGAAAGCAAATAGTGATGAAGTGATGAAACATTGATATTGGCTTGATTTGTAACTCGTTTGAATAATTATGGAACTTGGAACACGGTGATAACTCTTAATCATATGCCTGTATTTATATATGATAGTGTAAAAAATTTTTAAATCTAAATAAAAATTTTGGAAAATCCTTTTTCAGGCATACTTACCAGTACAAAGATGAAATGTACTACATGTTGGATCCATTCCGAAATCGAAATGTGAATGAAAGGAGGCTAACTCGAACAAAAACTGACATTGATAACAAGCCTTCTGGAAGTAAAACGGCAAACATTTTCGATATACTGGTGTTGGGAGCAATTTGCAGCATATGCGGACAATCAGTCTGCATTGATGAGGTAGACAAATATTTTGGGAATATTTGATTTTGTCGCGTAGGAGACGGAAGTTTCTTAATGATCGTAATGTAACATGAAGTTTGACTATTAGAAATTTAAACTGAAAAGATGCTGAATTTAACCCAAAAAATTCGCAAATCAGTACATGTTAGTGTTTAAAAACCAGCCGTACAAGATTCCAATTTAGAAAGAAGTTTCATGTGTTCAAATATTATTAATTCTCAAATATTTGGAAATGAAGGAACGATGAGGAATGAAAAGTTTTGCTGGTGTTTAGAGGTTCTGGATCGGAAACTTCAGGAAATTTGGCTTTTTTTCCGACAATTATGTTTTACTTGCAAATGAAGTTCAAGACGATTTTCTTTCTGGTTAATTTTACTCTTTTTTTCTAGGATTGTAGTGTTTTCTACACAAAAACCTTTTGCATCATATGTGTGAATCGAGAAAAAACTCACTTTCCAAAAAGTTTTGTCGAGGTACTTTTTTTTCGTATAAGTAAAGCCAAAATCCGGCAGTTCATAATTTAATTTCATCTTTCTTGAGGAGATATTTGCGATCGGGGCCTTATTCAAGCTTTATCTTGCTCAAAGAAACGTGCTAGTCATTTTATTTTCTACTGTATTGATCTTTTGTCAGTTGATTATGTGTAATGCTACTTGATCTTAGCCATCTGATATATCATGACTCTGCTGTATTTTAATGCTGTTTTGTTTATTGAAAAATAAGGCTTTGAAACGAGTGTTTTAGTTGGCTGGATTTGATTTTTTTAAGTATCGAGATTCTGCGGTGAAATCAAATTTCCACCAATATTCCAGAAAAATTTCTGGAAAACCCTTTATTCTTCTAATGATTTCTTTGCAGCAGATTGATGCAGTTCGTAAACAGCGTAAATCTGAACGGCAAGAACTTAAAAGGTCATTTTGATATATCGAAAAAAAAACCAAATTATTATAGTATGTCAAAATAAATTGTATTAATTTCTAGGGCGAAAGGTCGTCTTAATTGAATATGTTTTAGATCAATATAAGACTGTTTCAAATTGTATCTTATGTAAGTAATCATTTATCAACACATCTTCCAGTTGTAGTTAAGCTTATCTGCATTGTTTAAAAATTTTCAATTGTTAACAAAGAGTATGTGTATTGCTTAATGTGTTGAAAATTACTCCTTTGTTCGGAACCAAATCTACTTGAATGTCAAAATATTGTAGAAGAGTTAAGAGTCATTCTTATCAGCAACCGACATAATGTTAAAATCTATTTCTTAGTATATAAAGAATGAAGATCGTCTGATGTACGGCTCTTTGCTCACTATAACCATTACTTATAAAATTTTAACCTTTTATCTATCAGCTTTTTGCTAAAGCTAGTTACAATTCTGTTGCTCTCTCGCACCATTTAATTCGATATATTTAAAAATTCTTTGTTTAAATTTTCCATTAATTTATTTCTTCCTTTTCTTTTAACCTTCAAGTTCTAGCAAATTATCAGTATATTGTTGTCTTAGCGAATAAAAGTTATTACAACAAACTCTTTAACACATTCGTTTGAGTCAACTCCAAACCATAACCAAGAAAGCTTCCCTGACAAGAATCTATGATTTCTCGACAATACATGTTTATATATAATATGTTCTCCTATACTATTATTACTGAACTTCCCCTTTCAAAAATGCTGTTTTCTGTGAATATCAATCACATTTGATATATGCAGTTATTTTCTATGGAACCATTAACATTCTTTGTATTGAGTTTTGTATCTTTGTGATTTTGAAGTATTATAATTTCGCGAACTTGACACAGATGCTGATATCTGAAAATCAAAAACTGTTGTCTGAAGAGGATTTTCCGTTACTCTTTTGCAGATTCTCAAAGATGTAGCTTACGAAATAAACCAGCTTCTGTAAAGGGTTTTGAGAATGTTGAGTCAGTACCAGTTGACTTGGCCTAGCTACTCGTAGTGAGAGCAGTAAATCATGGAAATATTTAAAATTAAATTGGATTTATAAATAAATAATTTAAAAATGGGAAAAGAAATAAAAAAGTTGTCATGGAAAAATTTGGAATTAAATTAAATTTATAAATAAAATATTACCATGATTCTTTTGGTTAAAAAATAATCAGAGCAATATTAAAACTGGTAATGATTTGTTTACAGATTGGTAGAAAGTATAATAAATAATGATAATGTAATCCATTATCAAAATCTGGCTCATTAACTTTGAATAATGTCTAAAATTTAAACTCTCATTTGAAAGGTGAAAACGAAAGTAGTTAAACTGCAGAACAAGAAGAAGAAATAAAAAAAAATTAGAAATGGAAGTAATTATTTTCTATACAAATATTGTAAAATAAGTGTACACAAGCCTTGCATTTTGAAGAGGATAGCAAGAACCATCATCCATTATTGTTGTTTCTATTCTCATTATAAGTTAAACACTCATCTATTTTCATACTAATCTTACTGTTTGCACTCTATTTTGATATTCATTGATAGTAGACAAAGCTTTGTTTTCTATTTTTTTGTTTATTAATCCTATTTTATTTAACAGTCTTCATTGGTGTCACAGACGCAGATTTTTTACCAATTTTCAAACTTCGCAAGTATGAAATGAAATTTGGACGGGAATCTAATTAAAAAGTAATATTGATTGTTCATAATTCTTCTATTTTCTGCGTTTGAAAGGAAAAAACTTCAAATAAAAAAAATTTTACATAAAATCTGAGTGCAAATCTAAATGTGAACTTTTTCATAGATATAAAATGAAATGTGGCTGCAAATTTAATTAAGAAATTAGCCGAATAATGGGTGCTATAAATTTGTTTTGCATAACCACCAGAGAAAATAAATCTTTATGTGAACAAAAAGGTGTTATTGACATAATAAAAAGGCGAAGAAACGTTTCTTTTTTCCAAATGGAGTTATTTAGCTTCATTCTTTAGTCCGAGAAATACTATCGAGAATGGAATTAGTTCTAGTTTAGATTAGAATTAGCTTCTAGTCTATTACTAGTATGATACCTTGGTGATTATCAAATTAATGACAGCTAATAGGATGATGCGTACCCATTCTGGTTGAACATGTCCATAAGCGTTGTGGATACTGTGAAGTACTATTTCACACTTTACTACACTTTATGCGAAGAACGTTAATAGTATTTGATGAGGGACACATTGATAGGTGTCATCCACACTTCTTAAAATTAGTGATGGAAAAAAACGTTTACAATCAAGTTATTATCTATTTGCGCAAGTGGTATAGCTTCACAAATGCTTCTTCATCCTCTCAAAATTAATCATTTTTAATCTTTTATGAGTGTTTTTGTGTTTCTGAATTGTTGAATTGGTTTTTTATAAGTGTCTTATTGTGAATCTATGCGAATATAAAAATGTGCTTCCGTTATAGCGAAATCGTTGGCGTGTAAAGACATAAGGGAAGTTAAGATTTTAAGTCAAAATCTGGTGGAGATGCACAAAAATGCCTTTGCTTGGCTAAGATACTTTGTAGTTAGATTTTCATTTCCATGATTTTTTTTATATTCCTTCAAATATATCCTGTGCTCATCACTTTTATAAAAATGGTCTTTTAAATGCAGTTTTTTTAAAGTACCTTTTGCAATTCACCAAAATGACTTACATCCGTTTGTTAGAATTCGTAATGCTTTATCTCTGTCTATTGCTTGTATTATGCTGGATGTCAATTCCTTTTCCACTTCACTCCATTTTATGGCAAAGCATTGTTTAAATTATCCTTTAGAATAATTTAGCAACGGCTCACATTGTACAGTTATTGGTTTTAGCCCATCGGATTAATTTATGTTGGAAAGCATAAAATGCTTCAGAGCATGAGGTCAATCCTTATGCTTTCATCTGTTCTAAATTACCTCTCAAGCATCGGTTTTATACATTGCACAGCAAAAGAACTTTCTGAGTGATAGCTCTCACTTTATCTACTAAAAACGAAAAATTTAAAAAATTTCAATGAAATGAAGTGTGATGTCAAAATTCTCTTTTTATTATTTTTTTCATCATAAGTTCCAATGAAGACAATTATCCATTTTTATGTTTCTGCATGCTTTTTCCCCACTCCAAATTAAATTAAAGAAGGAAATAAACACAAAAATGTAGTACATTTGCACCCAGTAGTCCATCTTGATGGATACATAAAGTGTTGCAATTACACAACTGGCCGAGATATTAGCAAATCTACAGATTCACTAAGTGAAAATCTCTCAATTTTTATCTTTTTACTACTTCATCAAACTTCATCAGACTTATCAACTGAACATAAAATGAATGTGTCAAAAAATGATACATAACCAAATAACCTATTCTTTATACAGCAAATTTTAAATTAATTAAAATATCTACAATGTTGCCTAAAGACTTTTCCCTCATCCTTTTACCTAAGCAAAATACGGTATACTAACATTGCAGTGATTTACTTCACACTCAACTCTTCACTCTGGCTTCATAATTCAATCCAAAGTACTCCGTTAAACGGATGATGAGGAAAAAAAGTGTGATGAAGGATTTAACTTCTGAGCAACTCCGGAATAACTACTACCAAAGATGCTGGAACTGTTTAAGAATCATTCACTAAGTTAACACGGAGAAGTCTCATTGGCCTATTTTTGATATCAAACTACAAATCTGTGTAAATTTTATACCTCATTTTTTACACTGAGGGTTGAGCATTGCAATTTGACTTGTTCAAATTAGCGGTAGGTAATGACGAGAACATTTATCCAATTTTAACAATGCGGGAGATCATAGATGTTCGGACAGATGGAAACATAAAGTCCTTAGTCATTGAAGCAAATTTTATAAATGGCATTTAGCGATTATGATTAGTCTCATGAAGTCCATTTCTAAAGTCCAAACTTCTCTTTCAAACTGAACAAAAGCTAATTAATATCCCGACGCATCAAGCAATCATGTTGTAGAAAATCTTAAACTTTCTTTAAATTTTTAAATTTACCAGTTCAGATAAATTTAAATACTGCTTGAAATTAAAAGCACCAAAATGTACAAAAAAAAAATCATTAAGATTCTTCTACTTTGATTAAAGAAAAAAATTAATCGGAATTACTAATATTCATGAACTGAGAGCTTAATAAAGTCAAATAAGTTATGAGATACGTTACCAGTGCAAAAAAAGATTTACATGTTTCCTTATTTTACATTGGTGATTTTAAATTACAACTTCAGTAACTTTCTCTAATTATGAATTCTATATAATCCATCTATCAATATAGATATCATTTCTAAAAGTAAAACCTGCATCTCACACTACTAACTTAAGTATTGTCACCCCTTCTTCCTGCTATTTTTTGTGGATACTTTAATATATTAATTCGATAGTTTCCAAAATTTGAAAACAAACTATTCCTTCCCAGCCACTCGTTCTTTTTCTTTCTTTAAACTCCGCAAATACCGCAGAGCCCGTTTGGCAGCCGTACATTTAGCTATTCGATAACTCCTACCCATTCCAGTGAAACGACACTTGCCTTGGATATCAACTGTTACACGCACTTTCCCCGTTTCCAATATTCTCTCCAGTTTTCTAAAATAAAATTATGTTTATCAACAAATAGAGTATTAAAAATAAAGAGAACTGATATTTTATTTTTATCTTTTTGAATATTTTTTGCGATGCCCTATTCAAGTATCAACTATTATAGCTAACTCCTCCAAAAAAATGAGTCCAATTTAGGTCAGATTCAAATTTCTACTTCTTTACATAAATATCTTGGAATTTTTGAAAAGCAACATGTTCCAAAACTTTTAAACTTTGTTAATTTTAAAAAATCTAACCAAAAGAAAAGCAATTTCTAACTTCTCTCATAAACCAACGTATCTAGATTTATCAATGATTTACGCTCCAAAATATGCTAATTGGAATCAAAAAATTTGAAAATCACAG